GTCTTCACTGGTTTTTCTTCTCGTTCTTTCTCCTTTTCAGGTTCTTGATGTCGACTGGCTCTGTCTTCGTTGCTACGCCTTCTGTCATGATCGCGATCACGGTCACGTCCTCGATCACGATCACGTTCACGATCACGATCGTGCGAAGGCACTACATCTCGTCGTTCACGCTTTTCTAATGCTGCGCGACTGAATGGGGGAGTTTCTGAGCGTTGCCGTTTCCTCTCGTGTTCGTCCTTCTTCTAGAAAAGTGACAAATTTTTACTCATGAGTTAACGTTCGCAACACACTTCTCAAAAGTAGGTTATTTGCCGAAGGGAAACGAAGGCTCAAAAACCACTGGTGGTAAGAAGCTAACACCTACTACTAGTGATAAACTCAATCTCAACCAGGGTGAATGGCGGCCGAGGCAGTGTCGGGAATGAATGTACGCGCTGAGAACACGGATGGCTCGCGCGTGGAAAGTGCGTATGCGCGCGGGAGAGCGTGGCGGAACAGGTGAAAATCCTCAACGAACCGTCGATGAATTCTCTACCGACTGATTTTCACCCTGATCTGGTCAGAGAAGAACTAGAGGCCGCGCCCAGCACGCTCCAAACCGGAAACTGGTGTCCATCTTCGGCTGAGCACACAAGAACTTATGGCAATGTTAACATTCGCGTTCGGCGACTGTGACGCGATTCTCTCTGGAGAGGGCGTCCGCTTTGTTTGAGGCGTGGATGCGACACGCAGATAGTGCGCACCAAATGTTCACGTACATTGGCATTAAAAGTTGATCAGCAAATAGATGTGAGAAGACCCTATACCCAATTATTGGTTTTGAGAAGAAGACTAATCGCCTGAATACCTTCTCTTCAAATCACCATTTTCTCCGGGGTTCCTCGCTCTCAATTTTCAAGAAAAATCATTTTGGGTGAACATTCTAATTCCTAATCTCCCAATCTATCAATCTTGAAGTGCGAACGCGGCTTAACAAATGACAGCGAAATAAAAGAAAACGAATATCAACTGTGAATGTCGTGTTCAAACGACTTTCACAGTCGTGTTCAAACAAGCGCCTGACTTCATAAAAACTTCTGCAAAAGTAGAGCCAGAAGAATCATACGCCGCATAGTTGGAGGGTCATTTCGGTGCAATTTCAAGAACTGATCATAGCGTAATTCCGAGAATCAAGAAATGTAGAGGACTGAGAAGAAAATCTAAACGCAACAGAAACAATGTGAACACCTGAATGGCCTCAAAATGACATGAGAACTACTACCATCAGGTCCCATCAATTAAGAAGGTGCATTGCGGTGCACAGTCTGCTCTAATGTTAATTTATCAGTGAGTTCCTTCGGTTACAAGCTCTTAGCGATTTCTTTCCTGCACACTTCTTTGGCTTTTTCGTGTGCTGTATGTGTTTTTGTACTTTATGGCGGGAAGAGGCTATTGTAAGTTGGACGAGGACTTTTGGAGGAATACATCGGGGGGGGGGGGGGGATGGAAGGAACCCTAGGGAAAATGAAAGTTATCACACTCCCTCAGGTCTCTCTTGCTCCCCTTAGCATGTTTCACAGTAGAAGTTAGTCGGGGTTTTGAACGCGTTAGGCGCAGTAAACCACATCCCCCTCGCTGGATAAGACTTCAACCATCAAAATACGAATGCCAGTGGACTGCTTATTTGGCGCACACTACTCACGAACGCATTAGGGACGGAACGTGACGCTTTCAAGAGTCAAGCATACTCCAGTGAGAACACCGACGACGCTGCCGCCGAACGAACTCATTGGTGTCGATGTTAATGTGCAGAATTCGGCCCAAAAATAAAAAAGAAACGCTTTGAAAAGAAACATTTGTGAATATAACAAAAAACTTACAAGGGCATGTTTGTCTTCACTGTGTTTTTTCTCTTCAATTTTCTCAACTTTCTCGTCCTTGTCCTTCTCACGACGACTATCGGCGTGCCTTTCTGCACGTGCACGCTCTCTCCTTTCCCTTTCTTTAGTCTCCTCACGTTTTTCATTTTCTCGCACTGCCGCCTCAACCTGTAAGACGGGAATAAGAACAATTAAACCATAAAAGCAAACAACATTCGTAAGAACCAGATCAATTATTCACCGTAATTTTTAAGCTAGGATTTCGCCCCGGAAGATGCCCAATAACCGGCCTCTCGCGCTCAGATAGCTTTCGGTCGACGCGTGCGGCGGGGGCAGATGTTGAGGAAGAGGCAGCAGATGACATTCCAGAACGATGCCGCTCTAACTGAAATGAGCACAATTTGTTCACCGATGTCAAATCCCGCTACATTTGAACAAGGTTGGCGGGAAGCGTCGATCGATAACAGGCCATCATATGGATAGATTTATAAGGGACTAAAAACCATAAAATTCTTTAACGGCAAAATTCTGATTATGTGAGCAATTTCTGAATTTCGCTCTGCGCGGATTCACGTGAGTACAAGTCGGCACGAATGGGAGAAAAAATCTTCAACTGAACATCAGAAGAGACGGGGAAGCGTCCGTTGAGAATACTCGACTAACGGATGGTATTAGGCTCTGCTGGAGGGGGACAAGGTTGCGGCTTAGGACCCCCCGTTAAACGCGTGATTGTGTAACTACTACCCCCCCCCCTTGTTGGCACTCTTTTCTTTGAGGGATGGCGCTGTCTAAAACCAAGTATGCGCGGACCGCGGCGCGGGGGGCGGGCGGAGCGGGGCAGTGGGCACGGCGGGTGGAAGACGGGGGGGGGGCGCGTAGGCGGTCAGATCGGGGGGCTCCGGGGGCGGCCGGTAGGCGATAGACGCAAAGATCCTATCTCCTCTGGCTCTAGTATAGGGCCAGCGGCGCGGACGCCCCCCCCCCTCCTGCGGGAAGAATAGAACACGGTCCCAGTTTTGGATGAAAACCGCTACTAGCGCTGGATGTCGAGTGTATGGCTTGGCCATGAGAGAGTTCTACCAATGTCGTATGCTTCGCATTCCGTTCGGAAAGGAGATATAAATTAGAAGGACATCAAGAGATTTCCGGAAAGTACTGGTTCAAATGGAGGAACTAATCCACTACTCAAGGAAAGTACAATTTTCATCGTCAACATCACAAATATAAAGCCACGTGGAGCCAGTTACCTTGCAGTACACTTCTAGACTTAACAGAAGGCCAAAAGCTTGCGAATTCGAATGGTCCCCTTACTTTATGGAATTGTCCATGAAAGAAACTATGGTTGCTGAGGAGTGACAACACACAAAGGAGAGCCTCTTGGCGATACTTAGACAAAATCCTCCGAGCCATTTTTGACATACTGAATTTAGCAAGCACTTGACGAGTACGAGACAAGCAGATGTTCTAGTCTATAATACTATATAACTTTTCCGAGTTGAGCATTTGAAATAAGTTAGGGCTTCTGAAAGTGTAAAAACCCGTGTATCTCAAAATTTTCCCCGTTATTCTTGCAAAAATTCTCAACCAGGCCATTTTCGGTATAATTTCAGTAACCGTTGGTGAAGTTCTCGTTTACGTTGCCGCATAGAACTCCGAACTATAGCATTTGAAAAGAATTTGTGACTTATTAACTGTATAAACTCACGCTTCACGAGTATTTTCCGTTTCGTTAACAACCCGAAGACGTTGTTTTCAATATTTTCACAAAGCCAGCACTCATTGAAAGGTACCCGTAGATTAACTTTCAACTTTTCTTTCAGATTCAAAACTTATCCTCTTTTTAAAGTTATGGTCATTTGAACACGTGTTCTTCCAGCGCGTTACGCTAGTAGATGTGCTGCTCCAAAGTCGCGAAGTCTACGCATGCGTTGCAAAAAAAAAACGCTATTTCTTCATAGGCCATTTGTACGCATAAAAGAGTTGTCATTGATATGGCAAAGAAGCATCTTAAAGTTTCCCGGACGCCTCGTTTGACTCTGAGAAGAGACCAACCCTGGGCCACATTGCAGTAGTGCGACAACTTCAGGCTCGCTTGCAGTGCGAGTGCAGAGGTTTGATCGACACCTATCTTACAAGGAACCCAAACTATAAGCGAACCACAAGTTGTCGCAATATAACGTGCCCTTGTAGCAGGTATGAAACCAGCAGCTGCCGAATACTTTCTGAGTACCTCCTAACACTCGCCCACTCCTTTAATTCCCAGATTTCAAAATCAAATATAACTTCCATGGGATGCCGCATGGGTTAAACAAATTTTTAAAATCATGAAAAACCTACATTCTCTTTCGTATCAAATTGTACAGATAAAGTCTTCGGGTTTGCGATTGGCCACTGCGTATTATGCATCGCGATTCGAACTTCTCGAGCTTCATCGATTGATTGCATCTGAACGGTACTTTCTTAGACGGCGGTCATACTTTGTCTATTTCGCTTGCGGTTGGAATGTGGAGTAGATACTCATCGACCATGCAATCGCACGATCACATAAATGGGTAATGGCTACGCATCTGCTCCTCAAAAGACTGCAGGCCAGACCTGCGCATTGAGGAGCTAATACATTAAAGAAGAGATTCTATCAAAGGTGCTCACAGCAAGGCAGAACTGTAAAAATTACTTCACAAGAAAACAATCTATCCGCTGGAATAAGTCCGTAATCGATTTCGCGTTGTATCATTTCTGAAGCTCGCCGTGCCTTCGTCTTACATACAAAACAACTTCGATTTTTTCGAAGAGGCCTGAACCCAATAAACAATAAATAAGAGACAGATACCTGAACGATGCAATGACTCTTAACGCTGTCAATCCAAAAGTCAACAATTTGGCCACCACTTTTCAATATTTCCGCTTTCAACGCACGATCAGTGAAAGGCCTCGTGAGGCCACGTATATGAATAATGTCAGATTCCGGATGCCTAAAAACGTTAGTTTAAGGATGCAATATGGAAATGCAACAGTGCTTTTCTTTGGTATTTTTCCTAAATACCTTGACGGTGACACTTTCCTTCTCTTTCCTCCATGTTCATGTGATGAATCCGTTTCAGTAGCTGGACGTCGTTTTTGCTTGCGAATCTCGCGCTCCTCCGATTCATCTAGTTCCAGAACCTGTGTGAATTTGGAATATAACTGCGAAAACTATCTTGCAAGATTCTTACAGTACCGGAAATCAAGGTCAACAAAACCGCCTTCTTAATATTCATGGAAATAGCAAAACAAACAACTGGAAAAATCTATGTACTAGACAGCATAAAGCCTGGCAGTTCTCGAAACTGTATTTCAGGTCAGCCCGGTCTCGTCGGATAAACAAGGGAAAGATCAGTGAGCACATTTGAAAAAAATGGGAGAGGCAACCAATGACAAGGGAAAGCGAGTAGTTCAGTTAAGCCTTCTCTCATATTTCATCATAAGTATTCCCGAACCAGCGCCTAGGGTTCGTGTAGGTCAAAGAGGTGCCCCCCGCACCCGCCCCAATTGGCTGCAGTCACGGCAGTAGGGTACCTTTAGGAATCGTTAGCACCTTTGCATTCCCCTTGCCTCCTTTTCCCAGCGATCAGTCGGTAACGGTAATGTAGTGGATCAGCACTTGGCTTTTTTCCTCAACCTCTTACTCTAAATTGAATTTTGAGTCAATCAATCTCGTGCCATCCCGGGTCCATTTATCCCTAATTTCTCACAGTTATGATTGACCTGTAAATAAAAGAAAAATAAGTAAGAAAAAATATTGAATGCTTCCAATCGTTTGCGTGAACGAAGCTTTTTCACCACCGTTCTAAAATCGCTTATTACGCAGACTGAGGTGTACCATTCATAGAAAACGACTTTTTCGGGAGCCGGCAAGAAGCCTTCAACGTTATTTCGACCATATGGAAACAATGTTAACAGCGACCTACGAAAAGGTCATGTACACAAGAACGCTCCGCAGATTCGTACGATCCTTTAGTAGAATATTAATGGCAATTAAAGGGACCGACTTGAAAAAGAGTAGCAGTAGTTCACACAACACACCTCCAGCCAGGGTCAACCCTGCGTTGCGCAAAGAACAACGAGGGGGTCGTATTCAGCCGACCGAAAAGGGAGGGGGTCGTATCCACAGACGGGCTGCAAGACGGCTTGAAAAGTGCAGTGTCCGGGAGTGCACTTTCAGCCTCTAATGTTCTCCAGGAGCTCTGCACGCTGTCGGAGAGTCACACAGACATGAGCTCCATGGGAGCATGCAGAGCACTATAAGTCTCACCATCAGCTTATTATCCTTAAGCGACGCTATCCGGACGGCGCTTTTGCTCCGCGGCATAGATCAAGAGTACAATAGACAATAGCCAAAAACTTTGTTACAGTGTAGTGCAAAAACATGGTCTGTCTTCGATGATGAAACATTCCTGAAATCCCGAGGAGAACAAAGTGTAGAGCAGTTCATGGGAAAGTGAAACAAGAGTGCCATATAACAGCACAATGCAACTCAATCAGGATACTAACACCTTCTTCAGGAAAACAGAAGACTTTCAAATGCGAGTGCGAACTCTGCCCACAGATAGGTGCACGGCGTATACCCGAGGCGTTTTCCCATAAAAACGCCTCCTCTGTCAGCGGCCGTAAGCAGACAAACTTTCTGAAGAGAGTTTCGATGCTTTCAAATAAAATCTAAGCGAAACAAAGTGTAGCGAATTTGCTGAATTGAGTTCTAGAGACGCCGTAGGAAAATTGAGGCAGAAGAAAGAATTTCAGGAAATTTCACAGTTGTTATGAAGTACTCTTCGAGTGGATTCCAACAATCTTTACCGCTTCTCATCACATTAATTTTAAAGGAAGTTATGGGCCTTTGAAGACTGCATAGTCGCGGTCCAGGAAAATGGCTTGAAAAAAATCAAGGTGGAAAAACGGAACAACGGGACTATTTTTTGAGCGAGTGATTATTTCAAGAAGTTTTAGCACTTATTCGAAAGCTCTAATCCTCTAGTTTCTAATTAGCCTTAGACATCTGCAAAATGTTGAGTATGAAGAAAGTTATTAACGTTTGAATGTCGAAAACTCGCGCCTTCTCAAAAATCGGACCCCAAACCACCCAAGAACGGAACAACGGGACTATTTTTTGAAAAAATGATCGCTGGAAAATTTCAGGTGCTTGTTCGAAAGCTCTAATCTTCTAGTTTCTAATTAGCCTTAGACATTTGCAAAAAGTTGATTATGAAGAAAGTTATGAATGTTTGAATGTCAAAAACTCGCGTGTGCACAGAAAACGGAACAACGGGACGATTTTTTGAAATATTGAACATCCACAACATTTCAAATACTCCTCAGGAAGAAAACTATTTATATTTTTCAAAATTTTGGTGTCCGATTTCATGAAACAGCTTCTGAAAGAAAATATAACCTTCTGAATGGAGGGGTTTGGATTGCAATGTAATTGCTACAAGGTTTAGTTTTTCAGATTATAAGGTAAGGAAAGTTGAGAGATCGAAAAAATCCTGGTGGGTTTCTGAAAGTAGAAATCTTTACGATTAAAATGATGTATTGGTTTACGCAAAAATTTGGAAATTCCTTCTATTTAATGAATAAAACTTCATTTGCCTCGATTCCTCCTCTGAGCGAGACAAGCGCGCGGATTGACCACGGTCCACCACTTCTCCATGTTGGTGACTGCCATCATTGATGAGCATTGATGAGCATTAAATTATGTGAAAGACATGATAGTTAATATGGGGGGTCGTACCGATACCCCCCGAAAAGGAAGGGGGTCGTAAAAATTTTGGAATTTGCGCAACGCAGGGTTGACCCTGCCTCCAGCTGTAAAATAGGAACGATTAACAGGGCAGCAGATGTTCAAAGGGAATATCCGGAGAAGAAACCATGTTACCGTGAGGGAGCTGCTTACTCCAGAATCGAAGAAACAGAAAGCAAAAAAGGTGCGGCCGTAGCATAACGAGTACAGAGCTAACGTAATGGTTCCTTGAAACCCATGGGACTAACGTAGGGCAGAGAAATGTTAAGATAACTTCTACTAATTCTGTACATCTCCTGTCTATCACCTCAACGAAAAATGATATTCTTCGAAGTTGCACCTTGCTGCACGAAGGCAGCATTGCGTTCATTGCAGGGTGGAAACAACCGCTGCTCCCATTGGAGAAGAGGAATCAATTAAGGGAATACAAGGAGAGTAGAAGTAGGTTTTTTACCATTATTTTTACAGGAACAGTGCTAACTCCATTTTGGTGTCGTGATGGAAGGACTAATATTCTTTCAGCCTACGCCGACCAGACAAAAAAAATGAAAATGAAAAATAAGGGAACACAAACGACAAGGAACCGTCTGTGGATGAGAACTAACGAGCCGTTTTTTGACCTCGATGAAAAACTTGACTAACCCGTCTGAAGAAACTTGGAAAGGTTAGAAAGTTGGACAAGTGGGCACCGCATGAATCTACTAAGCAGCAGCAAAGTGGAACTTCAGAAATCTCGTCACAACTCGTTTTGCTCAACAAAAATGTCCAACTTTTGTAACATTTCATCATGCTCGACGGAAACTGAATTCTTTGCTACAGAGTAAACAATTTTCTAAAAATTAAGCAGCGCAAACACCAAGTTTCTTCCAGAGCAGAAATTTCACAAGGTGAGGACCACCACGCTGGAGATTTCGTATAACTTCGTAAATTGAACTGTATTTGACTTGTTTTTTGTTTGTTAACTGCTGTTTTTGGCCGCAGTTCGCCTTGCGAATGTTTCACAAGAATGCTGGGTTGTGAACAAAACTTTCGCCCCAGGCGGGACTAGAACCCGCACCTCTCGCTTTCCGGGCAAGTGCGCTACCAGTTACGCTACCGGGGCACCATTTCATTCCAACTCAGTTTGTAGTATAACTTCTGAAACCAAACGAACATTGACACAAGCCCAAGGATACTGTGTCCAGGAGGAGGAAAAGAACTGTTCCATGCTCGCGCCCATCCATATGTGGGGAAACGACCTCGTAAGGAATGGCGATCGATCTATCCAGCTTTGCTTCACATAGTGCACTCACAGGATCTCTCTCTATCTCTCTCGCCAAGTTCCACATTTTCAGCCATGTCGACAGCTTCGTGGGTAGTAAAATATTTGGAAAACGAGACATGGTGAGAAAGACCTTCGACGATTTATGCGCTTAGTTTCCATTTATGAATTAGTTCAGCCTGTTAAGGGAAATGCGTACTTTCTAATACTTCTTCAAACGAATGAAAATCTTGGCTTTGAGCTAAATATACTGCTTTGATGATGAAACTTGAAAACCCGCATTACTTCCTAGATAACCTAACAATACGACCAGAAAAGAAGCATATTCCATGAATCACAAAACAAAAAGCTGAGTGTTTCTGTTCAGATACAGATTGAGGTCAAACAATACAATGCATCAGTTGATTGCTGTTCCAAAGGAAAAAAAAACAAAGTGCTTGAGGTAAAAACAATCTATTTCAATTACAGTGCAAGAACTCACTTCATCCTTTGTCTCTTTATCATCAGTCTCTGCGTCACCTTCAACTTCGGCTTCTCCATAGTCTAATTCCTCTAGATGTTCTCCACCACCCCCATCATCACCGCTCCCATTTTGTTCCACTGATTTCGCAGCAGATGCTGAACGACCACTTCTATTAGCTTGGTCCATAATTCCTGCAACAGACTGGCTCAATTTCGATTTCATGATTTTTATATTTATTCGTTTCATTCATCCAGTATGCTTAGACCATAGTTATCCACAATCAAGCTGTTCTATGCCTTTGTTGCAAAATTCTACTGAACTCTGATTGAAGAAAGATTAGGTTTCGATTTGACATCTTGGTGGTTAGAATGAGATTTTTTCTCTATGAGGTTTGGAGAGAGAAGCTGAGAACATCCTTTCGTACGAAGTCAGGATATAAGGTGGACACTGAAGAGCTCCCCGTTCGAAAATTTTCCTGGATTTTCTTCACATCAGGTAGTTCCGGTCGTGAGAAAGGAAACTTTGTCTTGCTTTTATTTCGTACCAAAGCCGTTGAAATTTGTTGGGGCGGTCGAATTGGCTGTAACATCTGCACGTAGAGGCTCAACTCGTCTAGGGTTCCAGCAAAAATCCGGGAAGACCTAACTTGGGAGGGTGTACTTCAGCAGTCGAAACTCCCAAATCCTTTGAGCAAGACAATTGCCGTTTGTTGGCACAAAGCACCCCGTAATCACCACCAGCAAAGATGATGTACATGAGGCTGTCAGATCGTGCTTGGAGCTAATTCGGAATCAAGATATATAGGAGCCACATACATCCAGATCTTTGCAGCCTTTCGGAGATGTCCAGCAATGTCACCTTGTCGCATGAAAATTCTCTGACGAATGATCGATAGTCTATCCAGATCCCTTTTCAAAAGCGTCAGATAGAGCATCGTGATTGCCAGTCACGGGGTGGTTGGAGTGTGGGTCATCTTCAAATAAAAAAGTCAACGCTGAGCAGAGTGAAGGTACACCGTGGATTGAGGGAACATGCCCTTTCCCATCTTCTGCTTAATCCTCGGTGACCCCCCAGCCTGACTTGCGCAAGATCTCAAGGCAGTCACTCGTGAAAATTAGGGCACAAAGAGCTTTTCGCGAAATCGGTGTAATATCCATAACAAGTAGCGAGACAACGAGCTGGACGGTTGGCTGAAATTGCAAAGGTGGATGCTACGTCAACAAACATGTTGCAAATTTTCGGAGTTCTCGAAAATAAAAAAGCTTCCAGCATTAAATGTTGTTTGTTGCAGGAATTGAGCCAACCTAGTATTAGAGACCACATATTTCCTACAATGTACATCTACCATTTTTTATACAGTCGATATCTCGAAGTCTGATTGGGCGTGTCACCGGAAATGACGTGGCAGCCACCGCACTTGATAGATGTTGTGTGGATAAAATACTCCGCCAGATATCAGCAAAGCGTGTTGGAAGCAGCTTATCCGCGCAACTTCTATCAAGTGCGGTGGCTGCCACGTCATTTCCGGTGACACGCCCAATCAGACTTCGAGATATCGACTGTATTACACGATATAAGATTTTCACACAATTTGATTGTTCCTCAAGCTTCTTCATTTGCCACGTTTATCCCAACATTCCACCGGTTAAAACGTGTGCAATCTCAGATATAACTTGGAAAAAGTTTCACCTCACACGTTGAACGCAATCTAACAGGAGATGGATGTCAGGCTCGGCGATTTTGCAATTGCGACTGCACAACTGCGAGAGCAACGGCGGGTCGCTACTGCGAAAGGGGAGACGGTCAGGAGTCCCGAATTTTTGCAGTTTGAAACATGGCAGTTGTCCAGGTTTAGGACCCACCTCTCCAGACGTTCGATACAACCGTCTGTGTAGTACCATTTCTGCATTTGTTTTTGCTTAGTCCTAGCAAATTGCCACGTTCCAACTTGTTGGAACCAGTAGCCGCCGCGTGCGGTGACCTACTTTCGCTGGCGCGGCGACCCCAGGTTGACTCTTGTCTCGCATCCCTGCGCATCGCGAGTGCCGATGGCTCCGCTGAATGTCCGCCAGCAGCGGTCTGTCACGAATTTTACTGCCGAAATCCAGCGGAGCTACCGCTAGTCGCCATTATGCAATCGGGATTGCAATCGCCAAGTATGAAATCCTCCGTAAGCAGGAGAAATCGAAAAAAAAAGCTGGGTTTGTTGTCCGACGGCGGGGCATCTGTTCACGCAATTGCTACTGACAAAAGAGAACATGTTAGAGCCTGTCATATATACTGAAGCTCTCCATTTAGCCAACTAAGACATCTCAAGAACTGTTAGGAATTCTGAGAGGAACTCACCTATTCCCTGCCCTACCTCTTTTGCTTCTTTTTTTCCACATCCAGAAAAAGCGGCGCACCACAAGATATCCTCAGTTAGGTTACTAAGCCTCGGCAAGGCTTGTCTGAACCTGTACCGTTTCTCCATCAGAAAAACAATTCGTTTGACGCTGGGTTTCACTTACGCTGCGCTATGGTCGGTCGTCAGCGCTCGCATATCTTTGCTGATTAGGGCCTTGATTTTTATTTGATTTGTAGTGTTCTCCTCTGAGTCTTATGTCGGGTACGAGGCATTTGAATAAGTAATGTTTGCGTGCTTAACATGCCACTGTTTGCCGTTAGAAGTTCGGTTACTCTTTTGACAGCGCTTGTTCGAGAGAATGCCCCGCCGGACATCACAACCAAAAAAGCTATTAAAAAAAGGAAGTTTTCGATAGTGCAGCCACTTATATCTGTGCAAACGTTTTTGGAACACGGATACGACGGAAATTGTGACTGACCTTTGGTTTTCGATTGATCTTCTTGATCCTTGTCTCGTTCCACCTTCTCTGCATGCTTCTCAGGACTTAAAAGACAAAAGTTGCGTTGGGGGTCTTCTTTAAAAACAAAGTAATAGATCAAACATAGCAAATGTGCTCACGTTTTCGCATTTCTTTCCCTTGCTGTCTCACTATTGCGAGAATGCTGCGTGCTGTCATCACCTTCCGAATGTTTATCTTCCTCAGGTTCCCCATCAGCGCTGGCTGTCCTCTCGCTAAACATGAAACATAATACTTGGAAAAAAATTTAAGCGCTCATATCCTAGGGGGGGGAGACATTTTTACACACGAAAAGGGCATTTAGAATTGCGACAAACAATTTAATTTTGAAGTTATTCCCACTCCACGTGACGCTCTTTTCATCTGCACTATCTGGGAGCGCGAGAGCGTTTCGGCCCAATACCTGAGACTAAACTTCAAAAAAAAGAGGGGGGGGGAGAGAATGCGAGTGCCTACGCCATTTTTATTTTTTACAAGAAAAATTTACTCAAACAGAAATCCATAAATGCACGCTCTATAAAATTACTCTTACGATTCACTCAAAAATTTCCCTGGGCCATATGCAGCAAGCCCAGGTCTTTGGCTCTTCATCGCCTAACGCGCGGACTTCGAACTACATTAGCAATGAAGGGCAAGAAACTCCGTAGTAGATTGAGAGATATCTTTCCGACCAAAAAAGTGGATAATGTTCATCTCCCCCAGAGCTTCTTCATCTCCCTCTCCAGACAAATGGAATAGGCGGCAAAAACAACAAAACGTGAAACAAAATTGTAGAGATGGCTCAGAAATGGAGCCGCCGCCAACTTGTAGATTTGAAGGACAGCTTGTTTCAAAGTAAGTACATTTTTAAACCTGAATTAGTGCATTTCACATGCCATTCCCTCTCATGCAGTTCATATGAAGTGTGCCGAACAGAATTACCAAGAAAAAACCTAACATTCCTTGTGGAAGAGAATATTACTTCTACTGAACGCCTGTAATAAAATAAAATGTTTGTCGTTCTGCACACCCCCCCCCCTTCTCGTTAAAACATGAGCGCCACGGTACACGTTTAGATAGCTTAAAATGTGACCTTAAGGTAGACGTTTTGAATCGTGCACAATCACAAACCTTCCTTCTTCATTGATTTCGACTTCATCGGCATGCTCTGAGGCTTTTATTTGTCTTTCTGTACTAGAAGATCTCTTTTTCACCGACGGACTAACACTCCTTTTTTTCGCTGGTGGGCTCACACTCCTTTTTTTCGGTGGTGGACTCACACTCCTTTTTTTCGGAGGTGGACTCTCACTTCTTTTCTCCGCTGGTGGACTCACACTCCCTTCTTCTGCCGGTGAACTTTGAACCTCGTTTCTATCAGACGGGCTGACAGACTTATTTCCATCAGACTGAGGGCTGGAAGATCCTTCTTTTCTCGGTGGGCTTCGACTTGGAGTTCTTTCCTTTCGTGGGGGACTCGACGACTTCTCCTTGTTCGGCTGATGACTAGGAGACTTTCCTCTCGTAGGTCGGTTACTTTTCTGAGGCATTTCCTCAGCTTCATCAATCTTTTTTGCAGTACTCATTTCGTTATCAGGGCTCTCCTCTTCTTCGCCGTCTGCTTCGGGTTTCTAAATAAGTAGTCGCATGAAATCACATAAAAATCGTGCTGCAAGTTCTACGGAATACGACAGAAACAGTCAAGACCATACCTGTCCTTCTGACTCAGAATTCTTTTGCTGTATTCGACGAGATTTTCTCTGTGATGACACTTCCTCAGACTCTGCAGCGTGTCCTTCCCCTTCGCTTTCCTTTCGAAGACGTTCTACAATGAGTGTAATGAGAACAAATTCTTACTTAAAAACAACAACCAGATGGATCAACCACTGCTACACACTGGCTTAACTGGAAGTGATAAACGAAAACCTATATAGAATCAAAGACTGAACGTTCTGCTGAACACGCGAAACCTCCTCCACGCTCCTGCCAGGGCGTCAAAAGGGGTTCACGAACTAATTGAACTTCTCTCAATGGACCTGCCGTGAATGGCTAGAGCATAGAGGATTAGAGAACGACGCCTGTCGTAGCTTCCAACCATGCCGAACGAGAGATGCGCGAGTCACGGGGAATGAGGAAATTGAATGGATAAAAGGCGTGTGAGTCACCTTTTCGGATACTGGTGACAAGCCGGTAGGGTTCCCCACTTGCACGAAGTAAAAGTTTGTACGTGCGAGGTCGCCCTAATTGTAAACCACTATACAGGCGACAGAGGCAGACGGGGTAGCTCATTAACTTACATTTACAGGCACGCTTCAGGATTCGGCGCCTGTTCCATCCCGGGGTAGTAGACAGGCGGACAAGCGTTGATGTCGCGCCCCTTTTGCCGCTTGAAAGTGCGCGACAAAGGCGCAAGGAGCTCGTCCGACCCGCAACTCACACCTTCGTCCGCAAGCCCCACCCTCCGCTGTCGGTTGCCACGTGGCGCTGCTTGAAAAGCGCGGGCGCATTTGAGGCAGCGGTCCCATTGCGACCCAATGTCATTGGCACTGGAGCAACTAGAGTTAGGTTCGTGAAACTCGTCCAACGCGCCCCTTCTCTATCCCAAGGTGGAATGCGGCTAAAATAAGGGAGGTCTTTTCTAGACCACCTCCCACCATTAGCTCATAACCGAACGCTTTCCTCACCCATTTCATCCCGAATATTGCCTTTAATCTTAAACCACCATACAGGCGATAAGGCCGATTAGGGCAGCACATTGGTGCGGTATATGGTTCCCGCACCCCTTACACTCACTTTTTTCACGCATGCCTGAAACATTTGTATTTCTTGTCAAAATATTATTACGGACGGACGACTCAAATCTTCATCAGTAATGAGTACGTTACCAATGCTAGCTGCTAATGCGGTCCATACGTTTCTTAGCAATTATTCGGTAGCCTACTTGAGCACGACAGCAGGTATTGGAGTAAATAAACAGGAACCCTGTGACCTTACCGAATGCGCAGGCTTAGATATTCGGACGCATCACGTGCTCGTGACTCAAAGCTTATTGTTACCACAAACGACTGTATCAGGGAGCGGTAGCGGGTCACCGACTTTTGACACTGTTCAGATTCTGTTCGGTAACAAATAAATCAACAAACATGCGAAGGAGTAGCCCACATCGTGTGCATTCACACTGTTCTATATCACGCGAGGATGTCCTTAGTTTTTAAGGCAACAAAAACAGTCCAAAATCTAAAATTGAGGAATAGAGCAAACATACGTGGAGGTTGCGTACAGGCGCTACCCCATTGAAAACGTTCCAGTATACAAATTTAGGATTCTATGATATGCATGTTCAAAGCCTGTTGTAAGATAAATGGCAGCAAAAGCAATGCAACACTGAGATTACGAAACGGTATATCTGAACAAGTGAAATGGACACTTTGTTCTTCTTCAATCTCAAAAAAGGGATCCACTTTACATTATGGAGAATTAGCTTCCTAATGAAGGAGCTCGGAAACCAATTACATTGCGAAATACACCATGCATTGAAAATCATACGCCCGAATGGGCGCTACGGCGCCCAAATGCATATTTTTGGCGCTCGAGCTGTCTCCTATTGGCCATGGAGCGTGCATAGAGGATGCGCCCTTTAGGAAATCTATCCATGTGATGCGCAGTACTCACGCAGATCCTACGACTTTGTAGTTATGTGAAGACGTCACGACCATTTAGACCTCCAATGCACTAATAAGAGGTGAGAGGTGAGTGGTTTCGGTGCATTATTGGACGTTCAACAATTTCCGTTGTGATTTATGTTACGTCGTTTTGCTATGCCTTGTTATGCATCGGGGCCACTTACTACTCAAGCGAAAGTATATTTTTTCTATGAATGCTGCAACCAGAAAGCCACGTCCGTAACTCAGACATTCGAATCGTCAATTTCCGTTTCTAGGATTCTCGCTGGTTCTTCCTCTTTCTTCTATCACAGTAGCAAATAATAACCTCTACGACCATACTGCGTCAAATTTCAATCCAGCAAAACGTTAAGGCGGACCATGGCTCTCTTCACTTTTGGGACGTTTTGATTAACAACGTAGATAACCTATTTGGCACGACTCCTTACGGAGCTCCAAACAAAAAACCTGCGGTCGAGCACAGCAGAATTAGACAACGGGCAGAAAAATGAAAAATAAAGTTCCTGACTTGTTTCTGCATCTTAACTGCTGTTTTTGGCCACAGTCAACAAACAAAAACAAGTCAAAAATCATTGCTAAAGCTTTCAGCCTCGCGGTCATTGCCGATATCGGCTAACCGGCTCAACACGTTATACGTGTGAGTGCTGAAAGCTATGGTACGTATACCATGAAAAGCTGAGTTGGAATGAAATGGTGCCCCGGTAGCGTAACTGGTAGCGCACTTGCCCGGAAAGCGAGAGGTGCGGGTTCTAGTCCCGCCTGGGGCGAAAGTTTTGTTCACAACCCAGCATTCTTGTGAAAATAAAGTGTTTTATTCCTGTTATACTATCCAAGTCTCCTTTTTTTACCAAGGTAACGTGGTGATGGCTAAGTTCATATCACCTATACGACTTTCTAGGACTGCCATATCGCACTCTTACTCCTGTAAGACATCCAGTAAAGGGTTTTAGTGGAATGTATCACATCCAAGCGAGTTTTCAACTGATCGATTGTTAAACTGAATTGATGGTACCTGCTTCTCTTCTTTGAGCTTCTAATGCCTCAGCCTGCCGTGCGAGATAGGCGGCGACAAGGGGATTCTCAGGTGAGCCCTAAATATGATAACACTATGATAAATGGAGATTGAGATTGTCAATCCAACACTTATGACTTTCTCACCAAATCTCAATAAAAAATGACAGACAAACTGGACCCTTACTAATTTACTGGAAGGCTTTTCTTCGCTGTCTGTATCCTTGTCTTGTTTTGGAGACGATTCTCCATCATCCACCTGCTTGTTTCCCTCCTCGTTTTCTGTCAAGAACTGAAAAGCTTTAATAAAATGAAGAGAAGGAAAATGAAGCATGTTCCAACTCCACAAAAAATGTGATGTTCCAGAACTGGTGAGCAACCGATACCATACGAAACCACAGAGCCGACAACGGCCTGTCTTATCAGTTCCCAGCCAGACCTAATTATTGATCTAAGAATAGCAAGGTCAATACCCTATGCATGAGCACATCATGATTGGCATGATATTGCCTTTAGCACCAGTGAGATTGCTACGGTGCTTCGCTGGATTTTTACGATCGAGCGCATAACTCATAATGTACTCAACCTAGTAGGGAAAGCAAATTATTAGTAACTGAGGATGAATAGACTCGACAGCATACTTCTTACTACACATACTTGACAGCATGTCACAGTCTCAAAGAACAAAAAACACAAATACGAATAAATCGTGTGCTCGCTAAGATAAATTTAAATATAAAAACAGCTCATCTCCTTGCGAAGAGAACGGCGGCTCGTCGAAACTTTGTGGTTAAATAATGCACTAAAACCTCGCAGAACTGCTCAAAAAAAAAGAATTCAAAACCCATGAATTCGGAATGGCGCAGAGAAAATGCTTTGTTTACCGTTACAATTCCAAATACAGTACAAATTCCCTTTGAGGAGTTGACAAAAGCATTTTGAGAAATCGCTGACTTCTTCAGCTAGAGATATTCAAAAAGATCATTCGTTGAAATAAATAATGAAACCATATCCATGTAAAATGGCGATGGTCCAGTCAAATCCAATGAAGGGAATTCTAAAATCCAAAGCAAAATCCTTCACGAAATATATTCGCATGTGAGGACCCAAATGACTTAACATCACCTCAAGAATGCTGATTTTGTGCAAAACTCTTCGCCCTGGGCGGAAGCTGAGCCCGCACCTCTTACTCAAAGCAAGAGGTGCAGGCTCTATTAGCGCGAGTTTTACCCATTCCCCAGCATTCTTGTGATAAATTTCGCATAGCGTGCTGCGTCCAGAAACAGCAGAGCAATCAAAAACAAGCCACAATTAATGACTGAACACTTCCTAGTTTTTAAGAAGAACCATGCGTAAACCTGGATTTTCCAAAACAGTTTCTATGATAAAGAACATAAACCTCATGAATACTGCTTCACAAGAAGAAGGGTTTTTCGTCTTAAAGGTTCTTTTATCAAACGATCTCTGTTGTAGGATAAGTTGTGAGGAACAGAAGAACAGGACACAACCCAATCCCAATCAAGTCGAAGGGAAATTTCACTTGCTTCGTATAGACTGATACAATGCGATGAATATGACCACATTCCGTCCCAGAAAGCTTTCCCATTAACAAATTAAGCGATCGAGTTGGAATATTGGAAATCTACGCTCACTACCATAGCCCAAGACTGAACGAGCAGATATGCATCAAATACACCGCGAGCACAACTCAAGCCCGTAATGATCAGCTTTGTGCCTCTTCACAGGAATTTAAGTCACAAACCACCATTTTAGTAGCGCCAAAAAAGAACTTCCCTATATACCACAAACAATTATTCGTTGACCTGAGGTTTTTCAGAAATTTCAGAAAAAAAGTAAGTGGTAAAGGTAGAAAGACTCACGGCTTTCAAGCGTTCAGTGAGAGTGGACTTGTTACCAATCTTAGAAAGTCCCCGCTTGTCCAATTCGTCTCTTAAATCAACAACTCGCAGTGAAGAAATTGGTACTCCATTTACTAACGGGTCCTCCTCTGACATTTTAACGAAGCTTGAATCTGAAAGTCAAAATCTAACGATTAAAGAACTAGAGCTAGCAAAGCCCAATTCATAAAAAATGACGGCCTTCGTAACAGACTAACAAAGGAAAGAAGATAGAAAAATGCAAAGGCATAGAAGAAGAACCATGCTTATGAAAGAATGCAAGCGTAAAAGAGGATAAACAGCATTGTAAAGCAAAAAAGAGCAACAATGAATTGCAAATCCTCATGTTTTCTCAAGTTTTATAGTGGATCTGTGAGCTTGTTGAAATTCCCAACCAATGGCAATACTAGCCCCTACTCAGAAACAGCAGAATAATATCACTAGAAAATACGATTTACTTCAGCTACCAACTGACAACTTGCGACTGAAGACATGCGAGATCCTAATTGCAAATAAGGTGCTTTGAGTGGGATGAGCAAGCCGTTTTCAAATTACTACTTCTTCCCCCCAAATAAATTCTTACTTCCTTTTACTCATGCTAAACTGTGGGTAATGGAGGAACTCTAACAACGTGGGGATATTATTTTCGCAGAAGTTCGTTCTCTTCAAAAGTCAGTGTGCCTATTCGAATCACATAGAACCGCTAAAATAAGAACCTTACGAGAAATGAATGAAACTAGTATAAAAAGAGCAAAGTAATAACAAAGGTCACTAGATTAAAAAAGGCAACGAAACAACCAATGCAAGAATTCGAACAAATTAGGGGTCTAGTGAACAGCATATCTACTTGTCAACGTAAGAAAAGCACATAGTGCATAAAAAATAGCTAACCTTGCGAAAAACAGACGATGTGATTTGAA